CGCTCCGTGCGCCGCTAAGCGGTTTCGTTTTTCTTGGTGTCTATCTAACTATTAAAAATTCGTGACATTCAGCAATGTGGTGCTCGTCGGGCTCGGTGCCCGCGCCGCTCGGGCTCAGAGCGTAAAGCGAAACACGCGTGGGGCGGGCTTCTGCCTGCGCGGTAGGGAGCGCTGGGCTGCGGCCCGGGCGCGGGCTGCGTGGGCTGTGGGCTGCGGGCTGCGTGGGCTGCGGGCTGGGTACAGCCTCGGCGAGGCCCAGGTGGGGTTTTGGTAAGGAGCTTCCCGGCCTTGAACGCTCCTCCTTCGCCGCTGCCGCGCCCGGGGAAGCGGTCATGCCTTGATTTTCTAGGATAAGCCTTTGCCCGAGGATCACAGCTACCGTGGTGCACAAGATGTAAGAGTGTGGAAAAAGTAATAATAATTTTCTTGGGTTTCAGGGGCTAATTACAATCCTTAATTTTTAATAAGGCAGTTTATAACGTAGCTGTGGTTTCATCATTGGCAATTACCTACGTACATATCATGGCCTTAGAAAATGAAAAAGCAGCTATAGTAGAAAATACAGAGCTATTGGTTTGAATAGTAGCTAGATATACCTTCACTTACTTTGAAGTGTGTGGGGGGGTTATGTTAATTTGCAAAGAAAAAGAAGTGATTGTAATGTAGTAATACATTTTGATAGCTAGATATAAATTTAACCTGAGGAAGAATTGTAAGTTCATGGTGGCAGTACCCTAATAAACCACACTTTTATAACCTTGCATGGAAAAACAATCTATTAGAATATTATAATAGCAGTGTAAAGATATATGTGGATATAGGTAGGTACAAACTGTGTGTTTGGTGTCAGTATTTCTTAATTTTTTGAAAATACTAATTTTATTGCAAACAACAAGTTTTCATTGTTTTTCACATGGCCTTTTAGTTATTTTTCACCAATTGTGCTAGGCTGCAATCCAGATCATGTGTCATGCCATAGATACTATGGAAGTTTAGCAATTCACTATGAGATAGGTTTAATAAAATACACTTTGCAAGTTTATTCCTGTATGTCTGCACTGTCTGTCAGGTCAGAATGATCAGAGATGAGTTAGTAAGCAAAAACTAAAATCTTGGCTTTGAAAATGCAGATAAAGGAGAGGAGAGCACTTGAAATTTAGATTCAGTTCCCTGCTTTCCTTGAGAGAGAGGCCGGGCAGCTTAACTATGGGGTACTCTTAAATTGCACTAAGCAGCTATGAGACCAGAAAAACATTTTTCCACAATATTTCTTCATGAATGTTTACTTGTGATGAGGTAAACAAGGACGTCCATAATAGGCTTCATGATTGCAGTAAATAAAGTATGTCTGTGCTTGACAAGACTTACTTTTTTTTGTGCTGTAAGCCTGAATGCTCAGATGCTATCGTATACTCGATTTGAATTTTTTGGTGATAGTGATACGATAAGAGAAGCCCTTGAATTTATCTTTTAAAAGAATAATGCTTAAACTTCAGTGTTTCTTTTAGCTTCCCTATGGCTTGTTTCAAGATCTATTTGCAAATCAAAATATAAAAAGAATATCTTAGTCCTTTATGCTATAGACAAACTTTAAAAATCAACCAGATGGAATAAATAACCTTTCCTTAGTGACTGTATGCAAATATCAGCAGCAAACAAAAGCAGGGACTGTGTATTTTCTGTTTGTTGGATACTGAGTAAAGTGGGACACAAAAACTGGTTCAGAAGGATGACACAATACCCTGTATTAATTTGAAATTGAGCACCTTCAAATCAAAGTATGAAAAATTAATTTGGATAAGAAAAACAGATTAATTGCAGGAAAGCTGGTCTGCCTTCCAGAGTTGCACTTAGAAAAAGTGGTGGTTGTTTTTAAATACATATATAAGCTACTCTAGCATTGGTCCATTGGTGTATTTAAGCATATTGTTAATTTAAACCAGGTGACTAGGTTCAGTCTGTTTAAAGCTAAACATGTGCAGGTGCTCAGATGAAATGGCTGCTATGAAGAGACCCTTGCAAATCAGCTCTTTCAGGTACTGCTCTGTAGAATAGTAGAGACAGTGGCTGATTTGCAAAAATACTTTTCTGATGCACTCGCAGGAGAAAAAGGAGAGGTGAGATTTCAGGCATATAAGTCTTGAAGAAACTCTCAAGGTTATGCTTAAATCTTTTCAAGCTTTTTGGCTGTATCAGCTGGTCTAATGAAAGTTATTAGTCTTCCTTATCTCCCTTTCTAGAGTGAGGGAAACATTGCAAGTGAACTTTAGCTGACAAGCTAAGGCAGACTGTCTTGGGATGCTTTATGGATAATGACCCAAATTCAGTACACTGTTTGATCTATTTTGAGCCTGTCTAATTTCTCATCTGCAGATATAAGGAAATTTAAATGAGGCCATGTGTAGTAAAGAATGAAGTGGGTAAGTTGAAAATTACAGGAGCTTGAAGGAGATAAATGATCAAAGACTGGTATAAATGTATTGTTATATGAAATACACAGCTCTTAACGTGTAAAATAAGGTTATGAGAAGAAGTGTCTTTGGGGCCTCAGCAAGTGGCCATCTTCCAAATCCTGCAAGGACTCACTAACACTTTATCCTGGAGGAGCTCCACTGAAGTCAAATGACATGGCACTTACACATGTAAGAGTCTGTGAGATCATGCTGTACAGGCTACGTGACGTTGTACCTTGTCATATGAAGGTAGGCTGAGCTAGGGGGAGACAGAAAGGAAAAGGCAGGGAGAGAGTCGCAGACCCTGTAGAAGCTCAGGCTGCAGTTCAGCTCGACATCTGAATTTCTTTCCTGAGTAAGAATCTGCTGAGGCACAGGCTGAATGCTATGGCTGTGTTTAAATGTATGGCTCCGCTGAAGCCTGCGTGTATGTCATGCTGTTCTCTGTAATTGCATTCATTAGTAATGGTAGTTGGAAATCAAGAGTGCGCTCTCCAGGGTGTAAGGGTGATGGCAATGCACTCCGTGGGCACAGAATATGAGATACTGGGGAGAAAGTGAAGTGGAAAGGGGCAGGGGATGATCAATGGTCATTACAAAAGGTGTGTGTGGAAATTTGTGAGGAAGAATAGAGTTAGGAACAATAGCAACAAATAAAGAAGGCCATAGAGGTGAGGATAAAGAGGATGGAGAAGAGTAGTGGAAATGGTGCACCTGTAAGATACTGCAGGTTCCCTCCAGTACCGTGGTTCTGAAATTCATTTTCTCTGCTTTGTTCAAAATCAAATCACTTATTTATATATACAAGTATAAAAAAGTGTTTTCTAC